CTCGGGGGCGGTGCCTGGCAGGCAGTCAGGTCTCTGCAGGTCTGGGCCTGCCCCGAGTCAGCAGGGGGTCTCTGCACCCGATGCCCCGCTCTGCCCTTGCCCTCTCCATGCATCACAAGGTGCCTCCGCCCCACCTGGGCGGGAGGAGCTGCATGCTGGGGTTTCACTGCCAGGCCTGGGACCCACAAGGGTCCAATCCTGATTCTACCATGTGGAGGGGTCCAGCCCCCGGGGATATGACCCTCCTTTATGCAGCTCTGCCCTCTTTATCTGTCTTCTTTATGGAGGGTCCTGTCCCCTCATCCCAGACAGCCCTCCCTTCCCTCCGTCCAGCCCCTGGGGGGAGTCTGCAGTCACCCCTGCCGCTTCCGGTGTGGCCCACCTGGCCCATCTCCTGTCTTCCGATTCTCGCTGGAGAACCCAGTGTAGGACTGGGTGCGTTGGGGACAGGCAGAGGCACTGACTGGGAGGGACAGGCCATGTGGAAGGGGGCACCTGAGCCTCTGTCCTGGCCTCCTCGAGGGCACTCCCATGCCACCCATCCTGTCACAGGTGTTTCTGCCACCTGACAGCCTGGCCCAGGGTCTCAGTGCTGGAGCTTGACTCAGCTTCGCCCTCCTGGCCCTCCCAGGCTCCTCCTGCACAGTGGCCTGCTGCAGGGGGCTTGGCAGGAGACCCTCTTCCTGCAGGGAGCGCCTGGCCCAAGGCAGGACCTCGGAATCTCACAGCCGCTTTTTTCTCCTGCTTTCAACACTGCAGTGCACCAGGAAGCTGAAACTCAGAGGCTCCAGAGCCCAGAACCCTCCTCCCCTGGGAGCCAGTGAGTAAAATTTCTCCCTGTCAGGTGTCCTTCCTCCCCGCCTTCCCAGGGGAAAGCCCCCGCCCTCACTGCACTGCCGCAGGTGAAGCTGGGGTGCTGGGTAGGGGCGGGGTGCAGGGGCAAGGACGGGGTATGCGTGAACATGGGAGCGAGCGCCCCTGACGCCAGGGGCTCCAGATGCCAGGAGGACCCACTGCCCACACTTCCGAGGGCTCAATGAGCTTCAAGAGCCCCCCATCCTACCGCCCAGACACCCAGTGAGGGGCCTTCTGCCCGTGCTGATGATGGACTGGAACCCAGCCTGCAAGCCTCCGGCCCCGACCTGTGTCCTCCCGCCCGGCCCCGTGTGGCCACTGAGTGCTTTCACCGCTCTGATGCCCTGGACCCTTGCTGCTGCCACCTCGCCACTGTCCCATAGAGGCTCGAAGCTGTCCTTTGTTGGGACTCAGAAAAACAATACCCCAGAAAGAAGGCCTCAGAAGCCAAGGACTCTGAACTTCTGCCCTCCTATCTCTCAGTCCCATTCTCTCTGGAGGCCGCCATGGAAACTAGAAACCCTCTTTCCCGGGGGAGCCCCTTTTCCCCAAAGGCAACCATAAAACCTAAAAATATTACCAACTTTCCCTCCACCCTATTTGTGTAAAAACTGACCATAAAGAAATCATCCGACCTGCGCTGTTTGACTGTAGGTCATGAGACTCCCATTCCAGAGAGGGTCCTGCCCCCCTCCCAGGAGAAAGGATGCTGCTGAGGGAGCCCAAGAATCCAGACAGCCAGGCCCTGCTGGGTTCCCCACTCAGTCTGCTAGCGTTAGGTCATACCCTTTTGTGCAAGGTTTCTGCACGGCTGTGGATGCTTTGTGGAACCTAAGCATAAAATGGACAGTTTCCTGTGTCTTTCCATCTTCATTCTGAAGGTTTCTGTGTACATGTTAAATGAATGTGCCTGTCTTTCCTCCAATTAATCTGCCTTTTGTGAGTTGATTTTTCCAGAACCTTCAGAGGGTGGAGGAAGTTTGCCCTCCACCCCAGCACCTTCTGTGGTTGCTGGCACTGCGCTGGAGAGCCACAAGTGGGGAGAGTCTGCAGGTGGTGAGGGGCAGGTGTGGGCTCTGCATTGAGGGCCCGGCCAGTGGAAGGTCAGGGCTGTGGCAGGGCTCAGGGACCTCGATCCCACTGGTCCCAGACTCAGCATGGCCTCAGGGCCTCCAGTGGCACCTCCTCCTCTCTTGCCCACAGGGAGGAAGATCAGCTGTATTAGCAAGGGTTGTGGCCCTTGGTGTGTGCAGACTATGATAGCATCTCTCCATGTGTCCCTGGAGTCTTTCCCCACAGAAAGGGAGGATGGACAGATTGACTTGAAGTTTGAAAAGCTGAGTGTGACCTGCTGTGAAAAGAATCTCTGCCAGGGAGTGGGGCTCGGCCTCTGGGGCCTGGCTGGGGGGCTCCCTGCTCATCTTCGGCCCTGTCCACCCCAGGTGGCTACGTTACAGAGGAGAGCAGGGTGCTGCCGGTCCAGGGCTCAGCTTCCCATCAGCCTGAGGCCACGCAAGGACTTCCCTGAGACAGGATGCTCTCTGCAATTTACAGCCCCCCACAGCCTGGAGCTGTGGGAACCTGCTCCACGCCTCCCCCATGCAGCCCTGTCACCTGCTGGCCCAGACAGCAAATACCTTCTAAGACCCAAGGACTTTGTCCTACTCCCTTCAGGTTTCTCCAGGGGGACCCCCAGGTGCACAATCATAGGTTACAACCGGTGACGGCAGCGGGGTCTGGCTTGTGGCCTTCAAGGGGCCCCAGCAAGGTCCCCAGGGTAAGGTTCAGAGAAGGGGGCCTTCCCCAGGCAGCCCCCAGCCCGTGGGCTTTTTCCAGCCAGGAGTGTGCAACCACCAGCCCCTGAGGTCCAGGAGCAGCCTGGATGGTCTTGGCACTCTGTGCCCCGGGAAGACTCGCTGTGTGGGGCTTGGCAGGGGGGAGGAGAAAAGAGGGGTGTGGGTTCCCCAGCCCAGTGTGGATTCAGGAGGGGACTGAGAAGACCCAGGAGGCTGGGACACCGCGGGACCAGGCCAGGCAGTGGCCACCAGGTTTCCAGGGGACCTGAGGGAGGGGCGCAGGCCAGCAAGCTGGCAGGGACAGGGCTGTGCAGGGGCAAATCCTGTGGATCTGGGGAAGGGGCACAGGGCCCTCCCTGGGCCTGACCCCCAGAGGCTTCCTCAGGAGCAGAGAGCAGCTGGAAAACCGGCAGGGGTCCAGCACCAGGACCGCCGCCCACCCTCCATACACATCTGCGGGCAGATGCCGGGAAGCAGGGAGCCGAGTCTGGCAGCAGAGAAGTGGAGGGCGGCCCTTGCACCTGGGCGTTGAGCCAGTAGGTCCCAGCTGCTGAGCAGAGTGTGGGCTGGGCCTGGGAGGGCCCCAGGACAGGGGAGGGTCCAGACCCAGTGCCCGAGAAGGGCGGCCCTTCCTCTCCCCTCCCCACAGGCCTCCTTCCCTACCCGTCCTCCCTCAGCTTTAGGAAACAGAAACTCAGTGCCCTGGGCTCCTCCCCTTCTCGCCTTCCCCCAAAGCCCCACCTTGGCACCCCTCCACATCCCCCCTCCCTCCCCAGGCTTCAGGAAATGGAAACTCAACGTCCTGCACTCCTCCCCTTCCCCCAGGCGCCCTCTGCTGCTGGCACCACCTGCCCTCTCTTGGCCTCCCACCTCCCCAGGGAGGGGCAGCGGGGACCAGGCAAGACCACCAGCGGCCCCAGGAGGTCAGGGCTGCCTCTGACTCACCTCAGCCCTGAAAGGACTTTGCCCTCCAACAGAGCAGAAGGAACGCAGCCCTGAGGGTCACAGACCCCAGTAGGGCAAGTGGCTTCAACTCAACCCTCAGTTTTCCCTTCTGTAAAATGGGATAACCATACTCACCTCTCAGTGTGGTGAGAAGAGAAACAACGAATAATATCACCTGGAAAGTAGCAAGAAATGCCCAGAGATGGAAGTATAAACTAGCATTACCAGGAAGGGAGCGTTTGTTACAGAAATTCCTGTCACTGCTTGTGCCCCCTGTGGCTCCAGTGTCCTTGGAATCGAATCCAAATTCCTAGCGACAGCTTTTGCGTGCAGGTTCTTCTCACCACCCCCAACCAGGGTTCCCTGGTCCCTGTCCCTCCAGGAAAGACCCTTGCAATTTATGTTGAGTGAGCAGCGCTGTGAGAGCCTTCCACGCTGGGACCCGGACACTGCAACACTGATCCCACCGGCCACAGCATCTGGAGCTCTTTCAAGGGCCGCTTGATTTCCACCCTCTGTTCTTTCTCTTTTCCTCACTTCCTCAAGCTGGACCAACGCGCTCACACAAATCAAGTGTTTTCACTACCTGCGGAGGGTCACACAGCGCTATGTGCTTCCGGATCCTCCACTCGAGTCTGCTGGCTTCCTGTGGCTGGCCCGTTCCCCTGCCGTGGTGCTGGGGGGCTATGGCTCCCTCTGACTCAGCCAGGGCACTAGCACTTGGTCACAGTGTGCTGGCTGGCTGAGTCCCAGTCATGTCCCCCTGGGATGGCAATAATGACACTGCATTCACCTGTTTCAGAGGGACCCCAGGAGAGAGACCTGACCATCATTAGCTGGTGGGGGCTGGAATCTTGAACCTCCACCGTGCTAGACAATGACCCTGATACACACAGCACTGCCCCCGGCCAGCCTTGGACAACCGGGCTGGGAGCCTCCGGATCAGACCCTGCCAGGTTCCTTTCCACCATCGTGGACACTTGGGAATGTCCAGAGAAATAAATGACTCAACTTACACAGAGCACCAGACCAAGAAGAGCCTGTTTCACACATTCCTTGTTTTGTTTTCTCACCAGCCCAAAGCAAGGAGTGTTCTGGGCTGAGCACAATACTCCAAACACCCTGAGTGCAGATGCTGTCCTGGGTCCCCTCCTTGTCAGTTCAAGTTCAAACCACAATGTGGCTTGCAAAGGGGACATGAGCAGTGACAGGCCCACCAGTCCTGGGAAGGGACAGGCTAGGGAGGGCTTCCCGGCCCAGCCAATGCCCACCCGTCCTGTGTGGGAGCCCCTGTTCCTCCCACAGGCCCTGGGACGGGCACCACTCACCCACCCACTGAACTCCATAGGTCTGGTCCTGACCCCCACCCCACCCTCCCACCCCAGCTGGCCCAAGTACCCTGTTTCCAAGTCCTAGCACCCTGGTTGCTGCCCCGCCCCACGTGCATGCTCCCCTGACCTGCCCAGCCTGAGGAGGAGAAAGTGCAAAACACAGCAGTGGGGTGCCCTTCTACACCTTGTGAGCAGCTGGATGGGAGCTGGGGGGCCTCTCCTCCTCCCCCAGGGCCCCAAGTGGGCCTCGGTTTGGGACTGTGCCACAGAGGACCCCCAGGCCCCTTGAACCTCGGCTCTCTGCTCTTCCCTTCCCCATTGGGACCCTGCTAAGAGGGGGCTCCCAGGCAGGGGGGCAGCCACACCCAGAGCAAGAAGGGGTGGGGACATGTGTTTATTTGAGGCACAAAAGCAGCAGGAGGGCTCCAGTCGGGGTGGAAGGGGGCAGGCAGGGCTGGTCGATTTAGGGGTGGGAGCCTAGACTGGGAAGCAGAGGAAGCCCCGCCTCGCAGGGGGTGCCCTCAAAGGAGTGCAGTGTGGGCACAGCAATGCCAGGGAAGGGGCTCTGTGGGCTTGGGGCTCTGCAGGCTGCTCCCACCCTCCCTCCCCCAAACACAGCCTCACTCACACCTGCAGAGCCCAAGACCCACCCACGACCACAGCCCCCCCACACTCATGGGCACCCCATCTGGTGCAGCCGACCTGAGGGCCGCCAGGGCCTGGGGCTTAGGAAGGGTCCCGTATGTCCACAGGACTCAGTCCTGACCCCAGCACCCTAAGACTCCAGGGACATCCTCGTCCCTTCCCCAGTCCCCTGAGGAAGGTCACATCACTGTCCTTGAAAGTGAGGGTAGCTGACCCCACCTGGACGGGGGCTGGGGCAAGTGTAGGGGGTGGGCCTGACCCTGGGGCCAAGCGAGGGTGTCAGGCACGGTGAGGAGTCTGGGAGGGGCTGGGCTTTCCTTCCTGAGCTAGGGGTGGGGGCACGGGTCCGAGTGGTCAGGGGCCAGGCCGCAGCAGGGCTGGCAGCAGGCTGAGCAGCAGCCCCAGGGCCAGCAGGACAGTGCTGGCCCGCAGCCCACCGTCGGCTGCGCTGAAATTACACAGGAAGCTCTGGCAGCAGTGGGTGCCCACGGACGCCACACCGATATCGACACTTGGGCCAGGACAGATAGGGGAGCAGCCTTTGTTCAGGCTGTAGCCGAAGTCCACGACCTTCCCTGTGGGGGAAAACAAGGTTGTGAGGGGAGACAGCCTGGCCGTGGTTGGGGAGGTGGCCAGGCAGGGACAGCAGGCTCTGGGCCCCGTTTCATCACTCACCAATGCCAGCAGCGGCAGACATGGTCACACAGTAGTTGTCCGAGTCAGAGCAGATGGTCGGCTTCAGGCAGTACCAGTTGCTGTTCTGATTCGTGCAGGAGAAGCACATCAGCGAGTGGGCTGCCGGGGGAGGTGATACCTGTGTCATGCCTGGGGAAGCCTCCAGTGTCCACTCCCAGGCCTGACCCTGGCGCTCAAACCCAATTGTTTGCAGGCATTTATTGAGAAACTATTGTAAGCTAGGCCCTGCGCTGGAGACCAAGGAAAGACAATGACGCCAGACCCTGGCCATCAAGCAGCTCAGCTGACACCCAAACACATGGTGACCACAGTGTGGCTGGGCCAGGATTGAGACCTCCAGTGGGAATAGCCAAGTGATTCACTTCACTTCACTGGGGAGAGAGAGAGAGACCAGGAGGGTCACATGGGAGCTGGCCTGGAAGGACCCCAGGGCATCTGCTCAGGGGAGAAGGGGGAGAGGGATTCCAGGTGGAGGGCACAGCTGTCCAAAGGTCTGGGGGCCCGAAGGATCTCACCTCGCTCCACACCCAGAAGGGCAGCCAGCAGCACCGCCAAGAAGACCTTCATTCTGGAGAGGACAGATGTCCTGTCTAGGAGCTCCAAATCCAAAGAAGGCTGTCCTGCTCTGGAGAGACACGGCTTGTCAGAAGACAGGCAACTCCATGCCCAGGACCCTGGCTCACACCAGCACCAGGCTCCAGGGATGGACAGAGCCTTGCTATTCCCAAGGGCCATGTGTCCCATGTTGTAAATGGGGATACAGGGGGCAAAGAGGGGCATGGACTTGCCATGCCCACCACAGAGCCCACCACACAGAGGGTTTTTCCAGTTCACTCCTAACCTGCCCCTCATTCAGTGCAGGCACCTTCTAGTTGGTGCCTCCTAAACCCGGGGGGCACTAGAGGCTAGGCAGGGAACTGGCCAACATTCTCAGAATCGCACAGAAAAGGGGGCAGAGGGAATGGACCTGCCCATGTCCCTGGAGGTGGGGAATGGAGATCAGAAACAATATTAGCTAATCGGTACCCAGAACTTTCCTTGAGCCAGCTCCATGCCTCGATTCCAGGTTACTCCCCCAGTGTGCAGAGCAGGGGGTTGTGCTGGGAGCATGACTCAGGAGGGAGCCTTCCCATTCTTTATCTCATTCAGTTCTGAAGCCAACAGCCCCTAAGCATCTGCTGTCCCCCATTGTGTGGCTGGGAAACGGGCTCAGAGAGACAAAGCGGTGTGCTCCCAGCAAAGCCAGCAGGAAGGGGCACAGATGAGCCTCAGCCAGGGCATCGTGGGGTCTGTTCCTTGGTGAGCTGGGTCAGGACACCTCCTGGGGCAGGAGCCCATGCACTGGGTAGAGAAAGAGCCTGCAACATGACCAGCTGGTATTCTGGTTCTCTATTTTGCATGTGGCAGAGTGTTGAAGGAGGAGCTTGCTCTTCCTGCCAGGGACAACCCTGGTAGCAGGGGTACTCCAGGTCTGGGGAGCACAAGGGCCACTGGTAGGGAAGGAGAATGCCAGGGAAAGATACACCTGGGGAGGGGCTGGCAGAGGCCTTGAAGGGGAAAGCAGCAGGCCAGGCCCAGGACCTGGGCTGACAACATGGAGTTGGGAGCAGGGGCCCCAGATGGCCAAGAACAGTGCCAAGGCCAGCTGGAGCCTCGCCCCACCTCCAGGCAGCCCAAGGAGGAAGGAGTCTCCAACTCCTCCCCCATAAAGTGAGGTTTTGGTGTGGAGGAGCACTGAGCTGTCTCCAAGGAAGCCCTGGCATGCAGGGCCACAAACAGGTCCAGCTGGCGCTGCCACCTGTCCACCGCAAGGCACCTAACCAAGCGCGCTGCCAGGCGGAGTTAAGGCACTGGCGGAGTGGAAGGGCAGTTCATAGGGTCAGGCAGGATTGTTTGATGCTTTCGGATTGGCAAAGGGAGCCAGCAGGCTGTGGGGTCAGTGCCACCTGGGACGCAGGCTCACAGGAGCTGACTCCTGGGAAAGCCAGGCATCTAGTGGCTGCCCAGCCGGCAAGAGAGGAAGGAGCCTCTCCTGGTCTCCTGGGATGGGAAGGGAAAGGTGGTCTACCTCAGGAGGCCTGGGCTCCCAGGCACTTCACTTGCCAGCACCGTCAACGCTGGAACAAAGAGCTTCTGCCCTCTTCTCCGGGGGCAGGTTCCAGCCGCCCAGGGTAACCTACCAGGGCAGTTAATTCTCCCCTTCTTGCCAGGAGCTTCCTCAAGAACCCGCGCTCCTTCCTCCAGTCAAGGAGGCTGTCCTTCCCCAGTCCCACGTTAGGGAGTCAGGGGTGTCCAGAGTCAGGCGACGAGACCCCAGGCGGTGCGGAGCCTGGGCCACGCAGCCGGGAGGGAGCCTGGCAGCAGTCACCGCCCGCTCCCGCCCGCGATCCCTACGGGGATGGCAGCAGAGGCTCAGCTCCCTGGGGACTGGTCCTCCGGCAGCCCCTGACCCCAGTCTCCCACAGCCCCTCTCCTGCGCCTCCGCCTCGGGCCCCTCTCCCGGCCCCTTCGTAGGGCGCCTCCCGCCCCACGGTCTGGGCCGGGGAACGCGCGCACCGCGGGGCAGGCCGCCCTGTCCCAGCGCGTCCCCGCAGGCTGCGAGCCTCCCCGGGCCCCGGCCCCGCGGACTCACCGCCCAGCGGACGCAGATGCCAGCGGCCTCGCGCGTTCGGGACAGCGGCGGCGGCAGCGGCAGCAGCAGGAGCAGCAGCGACTCCCAGGCAGGCCGCGCGCTGGGCGGATGCGGGGGCGGGCGCCGGGCGGAGCCTGGGGGCGGAGTCAAGGGCCTTCATGCCGGCTGGGCCCGGGTCCCCGCGGCGCCCATTCCAGGGGACCTGGGACTGGGTCCCTGCTGCGGAGCGCCGGCCCCTTCACCCCCGCACTCTGACCGGCGCCCGGCGTCCGCCACAGCGCGCCGGGCTTCCCCGTCGCCGCCTGGGCGCCCCCAGCCCCCTGTGACAGAGGGGGAGGCTGAAGCCGGGAGAGGGGCTGAGAGCCCTCTAAACCCCCCCGCGAGGTGGGGCCTGAGGCACGGCCGGTCCTCCCACCCGGCCCTGCTGTGCGCGCGGCTGGTCCTTCCCGTTCTCTTGAGGGTGGCAACATCGCGGGACAGACTTGGAGAGGTCGGACAGGTGACCAGGTCAGTGTGACAGTCACTGACACCTCGTTCTGGCCAGGGGGCGGAGGGCGGCTGGTGCTCCCACGCAGGCCGGGAGGCCCACAGGTGACCAGACGCGTTTTGGGGCTGAGCACAGGAGGCACGACGGAGCAGAGCTAGGAAACCTTTCTGCAGAGTGGGGTATGGGGATGAGGACGCAGGGCTGATGTATTCAGCACCACGCCTCCTCAGCTTGGGGCTTCCTGAGGTCTTCCCGTCCCGTACCCGCTCCAGACGGAGCTGTTTCTTGGCCGTCCCACAGGTGGGGGTGGGGAGATCGAGCAAGGATCGGGAGGTTGCAGACGTGGGTTCTGGTTTCTGTGGCTTCTGTGGCACAGGTCTGGCCAGGAGAGCTGGGCCGGGCTGGAGCACCCCCTCCCCCAGAGCGCCGGGCGCCTCCTGCCCACCCCCCAACCTGGGCCAGGACCTCCTCAGCCTGGGCCGGACCCAACAGCCGGTCAGCAGTCACAGAGGTCCTTCTACAAAGTCAACCTGATCTGGCCCCGCAGTGTAGATCCGGGAAGCCCCTGTTAGAACGAAGTCCCGAATCCTTAGCCTGACCTTTCACGGATAGCTTTCAGGCCTTCTGCCTCCCAGTGCACACTAGTGCCTTTCCATGCGCCGGTATTTGCGGAGCTCCTGCCGTGTGGTCCTGCTCCGCATGTCGGGACAGGGCTGGGGGGAACCCGTGGCAGCCTGGAGGGGCTGGAGGTCACCCTTCTGCCAGCCCTGCAGAGCCCCTTTCACGGGGTTATGGGCTGCTGGGTCTGTGCCACCTGCTTGTTGTCCAGAGTTGTAACGGAGGGAATGGGCTGAGTTAGAAAAATAGCAAAGAGATTTTCTGTCTTTTAAAACTTCCCCCACTCTTTTTGGGAACTGCATTCTGGCCTGCATCCCTGAGGCTGGTTGAGTCTTTTGTTAAAACTCCCAGGTGGCGCCAGCCCCCCTGGTGGGCGTCCGGCGGAGTTCACAGGCTTTGTTTTTGGCGGAGATGGGACGCTTAGAATGGTTAACCACAGTAATTGCCTGAAGCCTGGAGCCCTCCCTTTAAAAGCTCTGTGTTTCTGCCTCTGTTTAGGAAATCTGGGATTTTGAGACGAGAAGGTCTACCATATCTTCTCCTTTGTTGGCAAAGTAAATGTCTTTTTCTTTCCTCCTCAAACCGCTTGTCCTCGTTCTTCTGATTCGGCCTCGTCAACAAGTGGCCAAGCTTTCGTAACAGGCACACGGCACTCTTCACAGAACACTTCCTGTCAGGAGCTGTTGCAACTGGCACTACTCAGTGTTCCGGGTGGCAGCTGTGGTGATGGCGAGGGTGCCAGGGAAGGGACTTCTTAACTATACACAGGGGAGGAGAGGAAGAGGGAGGGGGAAGTTCCAGGAGGCGCGAGGCAGGATGACAGGGTGGCCAGGATGGAGCTGGGGCAGAGAGACACCCTATAACAGGGGACCAGTCACAGGAGCAGGTCTGGGGGTGCATTCAGTGTGGTGTGGGTGTGTGTGTGAGAGTGTGTGAGGCATGTGGTGTGGGTGTGAGTGGGGGAGCATGTAGTGTGTGTGTTTGGTGTATGGGAGGTGCCATGTGGTGTGTGTGTGAATTTGTGGGGGGCGTGTGGTGTGTGTGTGAGTATGGGGGGCATGTGGTATGTGTGAGTTTGCTGTGTGTGTATGGCATGTGTGTAAGCATAGAGGCTGAAGCTGAGACTCTGTATGTCACAAGATGTCCCTGCCACAGTGTGGTGACATCCTCCTGAGAACTAAAAATCCTAAGGTTCCCCCCGCTGACTGAATGGACCCCCTCTTGGCAAAGGGGATACCCTAAAACTGAGTTGCCTGTCATGAGTGGGGAGGTCAGACATGCCTCATCATGCCCCCTCCCTTCATGGAAACCTTCAGGTCCACAATTTACACAACAAATACATGGCCTGTGGCTTGTCTCTGATTTACAGACTTCTTTATCTTAACTTAAAACATTCGCAGCCTTTAGACAGAAGCTTCATTTTAACCAATTGCAAGTCGAAGAGTCTAAACCAACCTATAACCAGAAAACACTCCCCCTTGAAATGTCCCACCTTTTGGGGCCCAACCAATGTACACCTTCCATGTATTGATTTACGACTTCACCTGTAACCCCTGTCTCCCTGAAATGTATAAAACCAAACTGTAACCTGGCCTCGGCGAGTTTACCTGATCAAGGCTTCTTTGGCATGGTTCCAGCCCATGGTCCTCAAATTTGGCTCAGAATAAACCTCTTTAAATTATTTTACAGAGTTTGGCTTCTTTTCTTTTGACACTTGGGTGGGGGTTCCACAGCTTTGGGGGTGATGCCCCAGCTGTCCCCAGGGACAGGAGACATCCAGCAGGCTGTGGCCCAGGGTGTCCCCCTGCGTCCAGGTCCTTGGTGATCTGTCCCCACATCTGGGTCTCACCTCAGGAGATAGGTAGGTCTATCTGTGCGAGGCTGTCTCCTGTCCATCCTTGGAGCATTTTTTCTTGTACACCATGAACTTTGGGCTAGTCCTGAACAGGAGAGCTTGAAAGCTTCTCCCAACTACTGTGGTACCCCGTCCCTGACCACCACCCCCCACTGCCCCCAACGTAATTTGATGAATTTCAGTCTCCTTAGGGGCAAGCACATTCTATCTTGGCATTTCCCGTCAGCTTTTATATTTGCTACTTGCTCAGTGTCCCCTCCTAGATTGCCAGCTCTTGAGGGCTGGAGTTTTATCTGTACACTGGCACCCAGGGCCATCCTGGCTCATGGCAGGTGCCCATGAGTATGTGTGGGACGAGAGCGTGGGTGGGCTTTGCCCATTCAAGACAGGACCCTCTGATTCAGAACACAGCTGCACTGGAGGGGGGCTTTTGTGATTCTGGACATCCAGCTCACAATGTCCTCATGGTCACTGCTGTGGACCAGCCATGGGACTCAGACTCCCTTGAAAACATTGTGTCTAAATGATCCTGGCTGTGCATGGCCAAGCCAGGGGTTTGTGCAATGCCAGATGATGGAATCTGTGGGGGGGTCATTCTTTGAAACGTGCGACAGGATGGGGGTCTGGCTGGCTCCCTGGATTCTGTGCATAGTGGGGAATGTCTGAGCGGTGAGTGTGGGCCCCTCCCTCGAACTGCAGCAGACCCGGGATATAATGTTAGGGTCCATTTTTCAGAAAAGAGGCCCCTCCCTAGGGGGCTTGCATATCCAGGGGTCACCAGCCAGCACACATTCCCTGGGTCTGGAGTGATGCCAGGGAGTCTCCGTAACGGGCCCCCAGCCATGATGGACCCACTCACATTCCCTTCCTGCCAGCTCAACTACCCCCGGCTGCCCAGGCCGAAGGAGGGTCTCCCACTGCAATCCTGTGGTTTCTCCTTCCACACGCACCCCTGTGCTGTAGGACTCTCTTCTGTTCTGGCTTCACCCACATGCCCCAGTGCCCCTGTGGCCCTCACACATCTTGTGTTAAGAGTTGCAGGCTCATCATACGGCCTTGGGCCCCCTCTGGCCGTGCTCCGCACCCCTGACCACCACCATTTTCCGTGCAGGTGATGGAAGAGTGCTCCAGTGACACACCAGTAGGAAGCCTCAGGTTCAGCTATCTGGAAGCTCCTGGAACCAGTCCTCCTGGGTTTGTATGGAAGCTTCCTTATGGTATTCCTTCCTCCAGAGCGTGGGGCAGGACCCTCTTTGGAATGAGGGTCTTATGACCCACAATCAGAAAGGCAGGAAAGAGTAGACTCCTGGCCGGGCGCGGTGGCTCACGCCTGTAATCCTAGCTCTCTGGGAGGCTGAGGCGGGCGGATTGTTTGAGCTCAGGAGTTCGAACCCAGCCTGAGCAAGAGCGAGACCCCGTCTCTACTAAAAATAGAAAGAAATTAATTGGACAACTAAAAATATATAGAAAAAACTAGCTGGGCATGGTGGCGCATGCCTGTAGTCCCAGCTACTCAGGAGGCTGAGGCAGGAGGATCGCTTGAGCCCAGGAGTTTGAGGTTGCTGTGAGCTAAGATGATGCCACAGCACTCTAGCCCGGGCAACACAGTGAGACTCTGTCTCAAAAAAAAAAAGAGTAGACTTCTGCCTTGGGTAGGTGAAAGGAGGGCAGGAGAAGGTCAGAGAGATTCTATTTTCTGAGGCCTAAAGCACCCAACATTATAACAAAAGACTGCAATGCGGGCTGTGGCAGTTATGATCCAGGAACCAGAAAGGAAAACCAGTATGTGTGTGTGTGACACCATAGGCCACCCCCTGGTTTTCAAGCGTGGATCCCTTACAGCAAAACGATCAAATTTGTCAGAGCATTTACCTTGTTGTAGCATTTATAAAACAGAAGCAGCAGTACTGCCAACCCAAATATGTCTAACCTTTGGGTAAAGCCAGTGTGGGGTAGGGGTTCAACCTAAGGTTACTAAGGTTCCAACCAAACCCTTGATCGTGTTGTATTAAGACCTTTGTTTTAACTCCATTGTCCTGTGAAAGGGCTGTGTGCGCAAAGCGACCCCCAAATGCAGAAGGAGCCTGGAAACCAAAGAAGGAGGCAGACAAATCCAGTTTGTCGGTGAAGG